AATTACAGGCCTCTCTCATCTTTTTAAGTGGGACAACTTGCACAATTCGTGACTGACTAAATACTTATTTTCCCCACTGTACCTAATAAAAACAATTTTCAAGGAAGATTAATTTGACCAACTTAATAAAAATAAATAAAATTTGGCTCCAGTTAAGTTMATGTTGAGCCAGCTCAGATCTAATGGCTCTTATCAATAAAAATTGCCTAGTAATTATAACAATAATATAATATAGTAACAAACATTTTGTGTGTACTTTTTGTTTAGTATTCAAAGGTCAAATGTTCAGTCACTGTAGACCACTGTTTAGATTAAAACTGTGCTAAGCTACTGCAGTTAAGAGGTTTAATGCAGCTGTTAATTTGTAGGAATTTGATGATTTTCTTTCTTTTTTTCTATGGTTTGCAGACCTGATCAAGCCATAGACCAGAGATCCCTCTTTCTTAACATTTTTTACCCTAATYTGATTGATTTATAACAGTTTTTGTGTTGTGTTCCCCTTGTTTTCAGGATTTCTCTATCCCAGACTACCGTGCACATATGCAAGATCCACAGGGTCGGAGAAGACCTTCCTTACTGTCSGAGTTCCACCCTGGAACTGACAGGTATTGTTTTATTTGATTGGTGTTAGTTTCTTGTTGTTGAGGAGTTTATCCTCTTGCGTTCATTAGCTACTGATGCATTTCCTGTCTGTTTTCAATTTTTCCTTCAGGCCTCCAGAGAGACGTCATGGTTATGAACAGCAGTTTCACTCCTTGGCAGCTCAGGCAGAGCATGAGGCCATGGAGGGTAAACGCCCCCGCATGGAGACTGTAGCTGAAGGCCACATCAGCCGCACCCCTTCCACTGCTGGGGGTATGGTCCTGGCCATGCCTCACTCTGTACAGGACAGTTTAAGAGCCACTATGGAGGTCAAAAAGGTGGGATTCACATTGTTTGTACTAAATGTTAATGCCTTTACATGAACCTAAACTCAACAATTGGGGTGTTGTCCTGTTTGGATGCCACAATCCTCTTGAAAATTGGTATTTATGTCCAGATTCATGCCATCGTTTTTTCAATATTTCACCTGTTCTTTTTACTTCAGGAGTCTCCGTTTACTGTCAAAGTGGAGTCCCCATCCTCAGGACCTTCACTATCCATGGGGGACGAACAGGACACCTCGCCTTCCAAACTCTCCAAGGAGGAGCTGATCCAGAGTATGGACCGGGTGGACCGGGAGATCGCTAAAGTAGAGCAGCAGATTTCAAAGCTAAAGAAGAAGCAGGTGAGAACTAATTACTACTATGCCAGGCCTGTATGTGTATGCTGCAACCACGCTGTCAAAATACATAAAAACTGAGCTCTACGTGGTTTTTCAAACATAGAAACAGTGTTTTAACACACCTTTTATAAAAACTGAAAAGTGCTACATGTTTGACTGRMTAAATGTARAATAAATATTACAGAAATACTATTAAAATTAATTTTTTTCACTCATTGTTGCGTTGTAGTGAGTAGCTGCCATTTGGATTCTGAATTGGGATAGTTGGAGTTCTCCCACTTTCTAACAGCAAATTCCCACTGTAGGGCAGTTCCAGTGTAAATTTATGATTTGTAAATGGGAAATTCCCACTTCCCAATACAACTGGGCTGCAGCAAGAGTAGCTGGTGAAAATGCAAAATGGAGATTTTACATTTTCTCTGGCTATTTTTGAACCCTGTATACCTCCACCTAGTTGTGTGATGCTGTAGTCAACATGCATTGTAGGAAATGTAGTTAATGTCAACACTGGCTTTAAAGCAGCATACGCTTATTTTAAGTCATATTTGAAGCTCTCATTGGCCAAATAAAATGTTGTGGTGGGCCAGATTTGGCCCTCGGGCCTTGATTTYKACACATGTGATCGACAACATTGTTTTCAAAAGGTTGCATCTTAATTGTCTACACAAAAACACAAAGGTGGGGTTTGAAGACATTTCTTTCACTTTAAAACCAGTTTAAAAACTGGTAAAAACAAGGGAAATATAAAGAATAAAATTGAAGCAGGAAGTTTTTGTAAAACTGAAAGTGAGCTTAACTTAATTAATAGTAGGGTGTTGATTGATWTTAAATAAGGCGCAGTGCTGTCAGTTTGTTAATCTAAATAATATGAAATGTATAATATAGGAGTTGTATAAAAGTTTATTCCTCTTGTAGCATTGAAATAAAGAAATGAAGCGGTGACAGAGGTCAGGGAGTGCATTAGGTGCAGCCGGGCTCAGGTTGGATGCTTAAAAAAAAAAAAAACAGGAAGTTTGGGTTTCCTTTGAGATACGTAGTGACTCATTCGTTTGTTTTTTCTGATAGGATTTGGACATGGACAAATCTTTTTTTAAAGCGTTCTGACTTGACTTGGTTGCTTGTGATTGCGGAAATGCTCAATATTTTTCATTGCAGATTTAATCAATTTGCAAAACTTGTCAAATTACAAGACTTTTTAACCTGCAGTAAATAATGAAATGAAGTCCTGATTATAATTTACAGTCTGTTCAAGTTTGTGAGTTGATCAGGTATGTGGTGGCTGGTGTTTGTGCACATCGGGTGTCTACAGAACTTGTATAAAAATGTATTATTGGCTGTTAACATATACATTTTTGCCCTTGCAAATGTGTCAGTTTTTTTAGCTGTTATGCCAGAAACCTGTCATGTGAGAAGAAACAAAATAAACACAATTCTGCCGGTTTTTTTATTTTTATTTTATTTTGCTTGTTTGTTTGTTTGGCTGGTTGGTTGGTTGGTCGATTTGTTGTTTGTTTGATTGTTTGTTTGTTTTATTGATTGATTGATTGATTGATTGATTGATNAAATAATCCTTTTTAAAGGGCTAATTACAATTCTGATAAAACCTAATATTAAGCTTGATTTTATGAAAAGTTTTCTTAAACAGTTCATAGTTCTGCTTCAAACTGTGTTTATAATATTAATTAGGGGTGAGTAAAAATAGTAATTCATCGATGCATTGCAATATATATATTTTTTCCAATTCCATATGGATTCAGAAAATCCTCAGATTTAATTAGATTCCCTTGTTAGTTTGTCATGTTTTTATGTTTACTCTCCATGTTTTAAACAAGTGCTACTGCTCTATTTTCAGATATTTTATTTCTTAAAAAATGTTAACATATAATATTTCTGTTTATACAGGCAAGAAAATAACCATGTAAAAATTATTCATAGGGACTCCAATGAATTATTTGTCATTTTCTTATCATAATGAAATTAATATTGAAGCATTGAAAGCATTATTGAAACAAAGTCTAATCATATTGAATTGTGAGATTGGTAACAATTCTAAGCCCCAATATTATTAATAATAAAAAAACAGCATTGTAGCTTTCCAGGCACATTTTTCTTTTTTTATTTAATTATTTGATGTTTTTTTTTTAATTTTGAGGTTGCTGCTGTCCTTTTTTGACCTCAGCCTCACTGGATTGTAATGTTTGGACTGATACAGATTCTATCTTCATTCTTCCAAAATTTATTTCAGGGATTTGTTTGTTTGCAGTATTTCAGGAACTCCCAGCTTTATTTCTGCACATCAGTAGTTTGTATTTAGTGGATTCACCTTGCGTGCAACGCTCCAGCTAACCCTCATCTGATATGCTAGTTATCCCTCATCAACATGGCCTCTGTGGCAGAAACATTCAGGGAATAGTCAGATAAAACCAGCATGGCCTCAGAGATCCAGGGACTGGGGTCAAAACAGATCGGTGTTTATCATCGTTCTTACAAAGTAAAACCAAAGACAGAAAAAAACCTGAAAATGTAATGTTTGTTTTATTTCTTGTCAGAATTTTTGTAATATATTGATGTCGTCTCGTAGCAACAACTGGAGGAGGAAGCAGCAAAGCCCGTGGAGCCAGAGAAGCCTGTGACCCCTCCCCCAGTGGAGCACAAGCACCGCAGCATAGTTCAGATCATCTACGATGAAAACAGGGTAAAGGTTGTTTAAACGCACAACCAGAAAATTTTTTATTTATTTTTATTATTCTTTGTGGAAATGGTGAAGCTGATTCGTCTGTCGAACAGCATCAAAGAGAGAACACGCTCGCTTAACGGATTCGTTTGGAGTTTAGTTTCACCCCGCTGAGCCTGTTCCTGCTTCTTTACCCCCGCTGAGTTCACGTCAGACTGAAGCAAGCTGAAGAGTTTCTCCTGTAGCGGTCTGCTTCATTTGTATCTCTGTGCACTGAAATGCACCTCGCACCCTCCTCTCACTGCTGTGGTGGTGGTTGAGGGGTTGGGGGTGGGGGGGTCACTGGAGTTCATCGCTGTCAGACAGTGTTGTGGTAAGAGAGAGTGCTGAGACACACACTCCTTCCCAGTCAACCATTAACCCTTAAGAATGTAAAGCTGCTCAGGCTTCAGTCTGGCAGCTGTGCCTGTTTGTCTCCGTCTCTTGATGAGGGTCTGTGAAATTACACAGCGACTCATTATGTTCCTAATGATCTCGTCTGAGCTCAAAGTCTCTGCTGATCCAGGAAAAAAAGTCTCCTGCCAGACCCAGTAATTATTTCTTTTTTTATTTATTTTTTGTATCATGTGTTGCTCTTTTCTGCAGAGTGCAACCGTTCACTTTATGAAAGGTTAAAGCTAATAATCTAAGAGCAAATTAAAGGTTTTATAAAGCACCGATTTGTTTTTTCTAGTTTGTTGTCATCACCCACTCTCTATAGCTGAGAGCAAAAGTTTTGTTAGCAAAATATCTCGTGAACCACTGGACATATTTTAATGAAAGTCTTTTGCTGAAACTGACTAGCCTGGTTAAAATCAGACCCTTGTCCTTCACTTTGCTTCATACGAGGGTCTGAACTCTCGGCTATAGAGAAGTGATTCTTGCTGGAGGCGTGGCCTCTGCTGAAGTTTAAAATGATAGGATCATTTAGCCATGACGTATGTGTGCCAGCTCCACTGTGAAGGGGGCTAAGCTAAGAAGCTAACCAGAAATTGTTTGCGCTGTAAGCAACCCTACTGAGAGGAGAGAAGTACCGAGACGACTGTAAATGAGAGCTGCTGCTTTGTCAGACAAATTTAATTTAATTTGGAAGCCTTATCAACACGGACTGGTTTCATTCACTTCCTCCACTGCCATTACTAAACTAACTAGCAGACACTGCGCAGAAAATCAGCGTAGTTCAAAACTCCGCCTTCTGTTCTCTGATTGGCCCGGACGAAAATTCTCCTGAAGAAGTCCTTGTTTATGGGAGAAATCCCAGACGGAGCAGTGAAGGGAAACTAGAATTGAGCAGAACTGTGTAGGAAGGCAAGGGCCAGGCTAGATACAGACCTGAAATGTAATGCAGTAGCTGAGAGTCATTCAGTTCTTAACAGTAGGCAAGATCTTTGCCAGTACCCATTGAAATCAACTGTTTCTGTTAGCAAAATATACTATAAAACACTGAAAAGATAGCCAAACAGTTTATGGGTTGCCACGGTGTTCCAAATGTTGTTTAGGCTATTTAAACTGGGATGCTGATGTACGTAAAATACATAAAACAGAATAACAAACTGATATCCCGCCCATCTCAACCCTCGTCCCTTTGTCTTGTAAGATGATCTTAATTTGAATCTCAGACTTGAATATCTTACATTCCCTCATACTAGACCTTCTAATTTAAAATAATTTTGATGTTATTTTTTGCAAATGTTGAGTTAATCTGTCCAATATTTCTCTTTAGAAAAAAGCTGAGGAGGCCCATAAGATCCTGGAAGGTCTTGGCCCAAAGGTGGAGCTGGTATGTTGATGGTTAAAAACCATTTTTAAGTTTTAAAAAGGGATATAATAATTCACCTGGTGGTGCTTTTTATTTATGTTTTTTCTTCCAGCCGTTGTACAACCAGCCGTCAGACACAAAGGTGTACCATGACAACATCAAAACGTAAGTGTCAGTATTTGTTGCCTAAATCTTTTTTGTGAACATCTTAATGTTGTGCAAACACGAAGATCCTCTCAACAGAGGAAAGTAACTCTGACCTCAGTCCTCATAAACCCGACTCATAATCTGATCACGGAGTCACCTGACTGAGTTACCTTACTGACACCAAGGAGGGTGATTGAGAAGTGTGTGTGTGTGTATATGCACTGGTGCGTGGGGTTACCAACTGTGTGGCTACAGATGTGACCATCACAGTATGCATGTTGTACCTGTTGGGGATAATTCTTTGACAATTTTCCCAGTACACACAGCCTGGTGAGGACCCACTATTTCTAATGGGGACAAAAGCCCAGTCCTCTTCGGGGTAAATACCAATGGTGGGTCAGGGGTTAGAGTTAGGACTAAGTTGGGGATTAAGTTTAGGTTAGGTTTAGGGTGAGGGGTCAGGGTTAGGCTGTAGAAATGACCAGTRAATGAATGGAAGTCAATGCAAAGTCTCCATGAGGAYAGATGAACAAAACGTGTGTGTGTGTTTAGAGGAGTGTATGTTGAAGGCCATGTCGTCTGGGACATCCTCCTCCCTATCAGGGTGTACCATGAGAGCAGCCCATCTGGCTGGGYCTTTTATCAGCACAGAGGGCGTTTTTGTGTGAACCTGCTGAACAGGCCGTGCTCTCAGGGTCAGTGCTCTCACTATTTTCTCCCCACAGCCACCGTCGTGTATAAACAGAAGAGTTCCCAGTATTCTGTCCCTGTTACACTGCAAATAAACAGCTTTCAGATGAGACGTTGGGATTAAAATGAACTCATTTTGCTGTAATTGTGCTTTGCTAAACACAAACATCTTTGGTTAAACAGCAGCCGAACCTTTTTTTTTAATATAATAAAAAGAATTTGCTGAACTTCTATTGTCTTCTTTCAGGAACCAAGTCATGAGGAAGAAGCTAATTTTGTTTTTTAAGAGGAGAAACCATGCACGCAAACAAAGGGTAAGCGTCCCAGCTGTTATTAAAGCAAATTAAATGATGTAGTGGTTGGACCAGTTTTAAATATTTGTCACTGATGCTGACGAAGAGAAAACAGTTCTTGTCTTTCCCACAGTCAATAAAAACATCTTCACACGTGACAGCGTGTACTCTCATGACCTCTGCTGGGTTAAATCTTCGAATACAGCTTTTTGTAGAAACACTCTGAATGTTTAAAATATAGGAAAATTAATTGCATTCTGTTCATTTATAAAATGTGTGTTTATTTAGAATTAAAGAACGAGCAGTTCGTGTAGTGATCCCCATCACTCCTGAAGCCAAATCAAAATCCAAGATGGCCGCCATATTTAAAAGGACGAATTTACCATAGTCGGCCATTTTTAGTCATATTGAGGTGTAATTTGCTTTAGTGGTAATCAATAACGGTGATCTATAACAAATAGAAAAGGGTGAGCTCTTTCATATTTACTCCAGGAACCATTTTAGTTTTTACCTTTTCTTCACTCAACCTCAAAGAAAACGCGTCTGTAACAGTTGAAGTTATAACAGGACTGTCTTTAGTAACGGCTTTGAAATGTTTGGTTTGAATTTCAACGACAAACTCAATGCTACTTGTGTTAGCTTTAATGCTAAGCATCGATGTTAATTGTTGGTCAGCAGCCTTTGATTAATAGGTTTATTTGACTTATGTTACCATGGGTTTCTCATTTTGCAAGAAAGTAAATAAATCTGACTTTAGTTATTTAAAATAAACCATCGTTTTAACTCTGTGTCACCACTTTTGGATACATATTATAAGCTTACCAAGTTCCTCCTTGTGTATTTTCACAGATTAGTCAATCAATAATCGTTTTATAGTTGCATCACTACCCTCTGAATTGTAAGTGAATCATGAGGTGTCTAATGATTCCCACACCTGGGCTGTATTTGGAAGCACCCTGAGGTTTAATGTTCAGTTCAGGGATAACTTCACGTGTAAATGTAGGATTGTCTGGGGATCAGATGACTCGTTCTTTAGACTCAGCCACCCTGTAGGGGCTCATTTCAAACCAACTAAATAAAAATTCAGACCATTTCAGGTGGTTTGATTTGATGCTGAAGATTGTGGAAGTTATAAAACTAAATGACCTGTTTATTTCCAGAACAGGAGGCGCCTCGGTTTCCCCTGTTTGTTTGGCTGTATTGTGTGAGGCAGCATCAAGTTTTGTATGCAGTAGAAAAATAAATATTGTCCGATCAAACAACATTTCCGAGAAACAACCAGCCAAGCTTCTGGCTGCCTTATCAGTTATTCAAATATTGCAGGATCACCTAATGTTTAAACACAACTGTGCATTTGTGTTGCTGTGGGTCAGCGGGTCTAACTTTTCTCTGGCTGCTCTCTGTCAGAGTCAGACAGACCTTTTAGGCTCGGAACAATGGAGCAGTGCACATGGCCTTGTGCCAACAGGAAGGTGAATTGTTTGTCGCCTGCAGCAGAGAGTTGAAATGAGGTTGTTTTGTCCTCGTCACCATGTTTCTGTAGCGCCACTGAACATTTTAACTCTTGCACCTCTGGGCTTTTACTGCTTCTTTTGGTGTGGTTTGGATCTTTTGTGTTGGGGAACTGATATCTTTACTTGGTGATTAAAGAGTGGACCTTTTTGAAAGCACACCAGTTGCATCAGAACAGATTGAGTGTGGGTCAGAAGATGGAGTCAGACACAGTTACTGAGCAGCATGTTCTGTCTCCTGCTCCAAACCCAACATTGTTTTCACTATTTGTTCACATTTAAAAATTAAAGCTAAATTAACTAGCAAAAATGCACAATGAATGCTTAATGCTAAAAGATTTTTGCAGAAAATTTTGCAATTGGATTAAAATGGACCAAGAAGCTGATATTGGCAGGAAAAATGGCTAAAAGGTAGCTGTAAAAGCTTAGTTTAGCAGAAGGAAGCAGACAGAGCATGTGTCTTGATTTAAGCAATAAGAAGCTGAAATTATCATAAAAAGGTGACTGTATTTTTAACAGTTTTAAAGGATTTTGGGATGTTGAAGACTAATTCATTCATTTCCAATGAGAACAAAAATGGCAGAAAAAGCTAAACATCTCAACAATGACGATTTGCTGAAATACCAAAAGTCATAGCAGGAAAGAGCTGAAAGTTTTGATACATTTTAGAATTGGCACAAAAATCATCTCAGTGATAAGAGAAATAAACGACACAGAGCTCACCCTTTTACCTTCAGAGAGATGTCAGGGTCATCGTTGCTTTTAGATTCTTTATTTGTCTTATTCTGCTAACTTTGTGAACCTATCAATAYGTTAAATCATAGTTGAAAAATAAAATTGTTCATCACTGTTCATTTGATTTACCCTGCTGTGGTCATTAAACACACCTGGTGCAACTTGCACACGTTTCATCAACAGGAACAGAAGATCTGTCAGCGCTACGACCAACTGATGGAGGCCTGGGAGAAGAAGGTGGAGCGCATGGAGAACAACCCCAGACGCAAAGCCAAGGAGAGCAGAACACGAGAGTACTACGAGAGGCAGTTCCCAGAGATCCGTAAACAGAGAGAGCAGCAGGAGCGCTTCCAGAGGTAACAGGAACCGGAACCAGATAACAATGTTTTAGTTCTTCCTATTGGTTTCTGGTCAGGTTTACATATTTATACTCATTATTACTCTCTAGTTTTTGAGCCAAAAACAACAAAAAAACTAAAAATCATTTATCGGAAGTGTTACTTGTCACAATCTTTGCACATTTAATGGAGACTTGTTGGTCTACGGCAAAGAAAACAAGTTGTACTGTTATTTTCTGAACACTTTTGTTTTTTCTTTCTATAAATCATGACTGAAATTAGATGAAACAACCATTACAATATTTTATTTTATTCCAGGTTAGAGATACACCTTAAATCCACCCTATTTTACAGGATGTTTACTTTAACCAAGCAACACACAGCTACTAGATTATTGTAAAAGAAATATAGTTTTTTGGACAGTATTGACTTTTAAAACAATGTTAAATTGACATAGACTACCTGCTCATGCTAGCATTTTTTTTTGCAATGATAATGGTAACCTATGGCCGACACGAGACATGAAAAAGATTTTGGGATGTCGGTCACCTTAAAGCAGCAGACTGGGTGGTGTGTGAGGCTCAGTTTCTCTGGGTGCTGTTGGAAAGTATKAGAACAAAATGATGGCTCAGTGTGTGGATGGAGATTTTGGGTTTTCATTGAAATATTTCAGATGTCAGCACTGTTTATGCAGACTGTACTGTGGAGGAGGAAGCAAGTAATAAYAGTTCAGAGAGAATGTCCCATTCATTTTGGCCACAAGGTTTTGTTCAGAGTTTTGAAAGTTTTAAAGAGAAACTGGGAATGAAGGCAAAAGCTGAGTTTAACAGAAGTGATTTCTTCATATAGCTTTAATGCAACATTTAATAAAAACATGTACCGTATTTATTCATGTATAATACGATCTCGAGTATAATACGATCATAATTTTTTGAGCTTACAAAGCATAAAAATCTAATTAACAATAACCCGTGTATAATACTATCCCCCCACTTTATGGATGACTTTTAGGGTTAAATTTCTAGTATTATACATGAATAAATACAGTAATTTTAKTTTTGGTTAATCAGACTGTTGATGTTTTCTACAGAGTTGGACAAAGAGGGACAGGACTTTCTGCAACAATTGCAAGAAGTGAACATGAGATTTCAGAAATCATTGACGGTCTTTCTGAGCAGGAGGTAGGTGCTTGTTGCTGTAAATTTTTAAGGTGCCATTTTTTTATTTTAACCTGTCAAACCACCTTCACACTGAGTGATAATCCCATTATGATCTAAATCAGGGGTGCCCAAACCTTTCCCCAGAGAGGGCTAAAATTAAAATCTATCCGAGGGCTGCGGGCCAAATGCAATAATATTACATGAAATACAAAAACTTAATTAGTAAAGTCATTTTTTAAAATAAATAACAAGCAGCCAGTGCAAGGGCTCACGTTTTTTTTTAATTTTTTTATTTTAGTCTTTCATTTGGAGAAATTTTGACGTTCACTCGGGCAGCAAAGCCTCATGGGACATTTCTGAAATCGAWTAAAAAATGAGTTTTTATGGTTTTATAAAGTGTGCAACATGTGTGCCTAGATCTAGTCTGAATGTTTCTTGTAGTTACGTGTATTTCCTGTTTAATCGGAATGTAATTCAAGCACCATGAGTGGACCAATGGATGAAATGAGTAGGTGGAAATGCAGTGTTTCTACACAGGATRACAGGAAATTACAATTTTAGTAACCAGGGCATCTGTCAAAACTGGCCCATCAAGATATTTGATTTTGTCCACAGGACCCGCTTTGGGCACCTCTGATCTAAATAGATTGTGGAAATAGATGGTCTTTGCAGCATCTTGGAGAGTTCCTCTAAAGTGTATAAAATTAAAAAACAGCGGGTTCCCCGTTACACGCATGGGTTCAGAATTGTTTTGAGCATGAACAGGAAGTCCATATTCTAGTTTGAGCATGTCCATCCAGGGGATAGCCTAGAATTGGAAGCAGGACTTGTCTCTCGTTGATCTTATGCCGGGGCTACATCCTCATCAATCCCACATCGACCTGGCTGTGGTGCAACTAACTTATTGCAACACTCTTGGTGGCACGGCTGCTACATGCATTATGTCCTGCCACTGCTCAAACAACCAGTACACACTCAGTTAATCCACCACACTCAGCTGTTTTTGGTCTGATTTTTGGACAAAAATCAAGAAGCATTTGTTCTCTTCATGGTCAGAGCTGGTGGRCGAGGGAGAAAGGGTGGTAGATGTATATGAAGGCACTGCACTGGAAACCCTTTCATCTCCATCCTCTCATGCTGCTTGAGCCTGATGGCAGTAATGACCTCGTCAGATATGACAATACTGCTGATATTTCCTCCTCCACTTCAGGGTTGGAACTGATTGCAGAGGCCCAGTAACCCATCAATGACTAGTTCATGGAAACAACATAGTAAAGACCTAACACTTGTSGTGGCAGAGTTATGCTAGCGTAGCGTGACATTTCTAGCGGTAAGCTTCAGTGTGACATGGTCCATAAGAGTTGCAGGGCCTATCGTAATCTGGCTCTGTGCCGGAATGCCGGCTTACCTCCACGGAAAAAAAAATAAAAAAAATTCAAGCTTGTCTAGCCAGAGATTTAACAGACATTTCTTTGGATCCAACAAAGGCACATGTTTTCCTGTCAACCACACTAGACAGGACTACCAGCCAATCAGTAATCGGGTGGAGGTTGGACTTGGATATTTGGCAAAACTTTGATTTAGATAATTTATTTGTTAGAACACATAAAAAAAAAAGAACAGGAAACAATATTGAAGAGAAACCAGCAGACGGATGTTTACCGATTCCTCCACCTGAAAGCYGAGATGCGCAGGTTGATGCTAGCATTAGCTAAATTTAGCTGAACAGTAACAGACAGGTAGAGCAGAGAGGAGCRGGCAGAAAGACGTCTGATGACTTTTACAACAGTGACCAGKGCAAAAACATGCAACCAACAGGTGTGTGTGCTGAGAGAAAAGGAGACTGGTGTTAAAGTTAATTAGATGCAGCRGCTCAGGAGCGCAGCTTGACTGTTTATGTTACTTTAGTTCTTGGAATTAAATATTAACAATAAAAGAGCTACATTTGTTTAAGCAAAAGTGTTCAAAGGTGTGTTTTATTTTCCACCAAAACCCATTATTCTCACTGTGAAGGTGTCAGTTTTAAATATCAGCTGTATCGTATTATTCTACCATTAAAAACAGGCCAATTATATTTGGAACCAGACTTTATGAAAACTGTTAAGCATTTAATTATCAAATATGAAATATAAATTAGTTTTCATGTAATTTTTGTTGATTTTGTGCGCCTGTATAAATACAAGTCGTGGTTTTTAGTTTATTTTAATAAAAAACATTGTATACAGAAAGTTTTTGTGTGACACGAGCAAAAACTGTCGAAAGGGAGGACTAAGCTACAATTTCAGAAGTTTTGATCTCACAAAAATGTCTGACCACCGAGTTCAATTATTAACCCCCAGGATAATTTATTATAAAAGAAGTAAAACAGTTTTTAAAAGTCAACATAATGGAGCACATCTGTACATCTGAATGTTCAAACTTAAACTAAATGAGAAACTCCATCACAGTGCAAACAAACATTTAACTGACACTAGGAATGCTCGATATAAACAATATACGGTAGAAACGATATAAACTTGTCCTATGATAGAGATCTGTAGTCTACCGGCCAACTGCGCAATTCTTTTTGATGATGTAACCGGCTGGAGTCAAAACAGAGGAAGCATGGCTGAGAGCGCAAATGAAGAGAGGGGGGAAAAACTTATCCGGACMTGGTTCGGGTGTGTGAAAATGAACGCCAAACTATTTACATATTTACGTGACGGCGCGTCCTCTGGTCGGATGCCGACCACACTGCCTGCTGCGGGAGGAGCGTGCGCCGCGGCATGTGTGAAGGGCTCGACACACGGGAGGCGACATCGCTCGCTCTCCATTCATTTCCACGCAGCGAGGCGACTGTCAGTGCAGGTGAAGTCAGTGCTCAGGTGGGACGCACAAAAATTAGTCTGGACCTCGTTTCTCCTGCAGTCATAGTGCGACGACGCACGACCGAATGCGCGCGCACTCCAAAGTGCAACTATAATGATTGTCACCCCGCCGGAGCACGCACAGATTAAACAGGTGGAGTGCAGAAAAAATAATCTGCAAAGTGTGTAGAAAGGAATAAATACAAGCAATTTGTTTTATACAGTATATATGTATATATATATATGATTTAACCAGGTAGATCTCCCTTAAATTTAGATTTTTATGGGAGACTTTAAAGTGTCCCTTAAAAAAGGAGATTTTAAGGTCTAATTTTTTTTACCTATACATATTTATTC